CTTAACTCCATAACCTGTCCCCCTGCTCTTCAGATAATATGGGGCTGCTATAAATTAGTGGTCTGCAATTGATCCAAACTTTTAAGACAGGAGGAAAATGTTCTTATCATCTCAGCCTCTTTCCTTAAGCTTGTGACCTTCCTAGCTATCACTCTTTTTGACATTCACATTTCTCTAATCAGTGGAGGGGCTGGGTAGGAAAAAACAGTGTTCCCAACCCTGAGAGATTAGTTTTCACATATTGCCGACTTCTGGCTTCTGAATCCCTGTAAAATAATCAGGATTTCATTCATTTTCATCCATGAGACTGTCATCCTTAGGAAGTGACAGCTAAGGACATTCCCTGGTACCTGAGCTCCTTACACCTTGTTATCCCCCTGACAGCCATAATTGCTCCTTGCACACTGACATTCTCAACCTTCCCACAAACACTTGGGTCCAACACAGCTTCCCCATCTGTTCCTGTGACACCAACATTATGGCCTTCCTCCATGCATCCCTAAATGAGGCTGGAGTAGGCAGTGAAGATGGCACACATGCCAGCTGGCACCAGTAACACAAACCCAGACAGTAATGAATTATGGCCCAGGACAGGGAGGAATTGGGAGAAGACTCATGGCTAACTGTGCCACATTGCCACTGCAGGTATGCAGACCTTTCTGCTCATGGATGCAGAATCAATGTGAGGGTGACTTTTCCTGCAGAAAATGCTCAAGCTTCTTTCTAATGTATGGTCACAAGAGTAATCAGCAGAAAAGAAACTTGAAATCACTATCTGAAATGTTTCATGTTCACTTCTATGCATCGCTACCCAGTGTTTTTGGGGACTCTCGGGGAAGTTTGAGGATTGCTTGAAAATGATACAGGGATTTCTAACTGCTCAGAAGAGAAACAAAAGGGAGTGAACGTATGCTGGTGGATCAGTTTTGTCCTACAAGCTGCCAGAATTCCCACCTGCCTCTACCAATTGGGATCTCCAAATTTCTCCAGTACTTTATGTTTGCAATTCATTGATTCATTTATTTTATTCTCTCTCAGTACTACTTCTGGGATCGAATTGGTCATGCAATTTTTCAAGGCTGTTTTACAGAATTCACATTTAGGCATATGATTTGGCTTTGTGTTGTTGTTCCTTTTGAAGCATTTAATGTTAAGAAACTTCTGTGTTGTAAATGTTTTTATTCTTTTTCTATGAATCTGTTTACATGTATGTGAAATAAAAGGTACATGTTTTATACACATGTAACAGGTGAGTATATACCTACATTTGTATATGTTAACTTCCATTTTTTTCACATCTTCCTTTAAAAATTTTTTTAATTCATTTTTTTCATTTTGGGGACATACCCAGAGGAGCTCGAGAGCTCAGGATTTACTCCTGGTTTTTCACTTAAGGATCACTCCTGCTGGGACTCCAGGGACCATATTGGGTGCCAAGGATCAAACCTGGGTCAGCTGCATGCAAGGCAAACACTCTACCCCCTGTACTGTCATTCCAGCCCACCTCTTCCTTTTATAAATGGAAGTAGGAGCACAAAGGCAAGCAATAAAATATCACTTCTGTTCCTCAAAAGAAAAAACTAGATACCCTTTTGTTTTTGTTATATCCAGAATGTTCCCATAGATCCTGCTTGTTTTCCTGTTTGTTGACTCCAGATCATTCATAACAGCTATTGGAATCCTTTCCATCAAGTTGCCTCATTTTGCCAAACACAAAACAAATAGAAACATCCTTCCCTGGACTTTGTAAACTAGCGAACCAGAGGCAAGAGTACCCACTCATGGGGACAGCTTTCAAGCACTTGCCCCTCTTTTTCTTTTTTTATAATTTTTCTTTTTGCAGCTGATGGGAATTTCCCCGTGCTGCTCTGAAGGCCGAGAGGCCCCTCTTGGGGATTCTTAGCCAACTCAGTTCAATTCAAGGATGCAGCGCTGCTCAGAATCTGTGGTACTGGGGATTACCTGGCTACCCTGGCAGTTCGTCAAGGCCTGCAAAGCCACACCCAGTGGTGTTTGGGGACCTACGCCCAGGATTGCTCAGAAGGCCTCAAAGGCTGTATCAAATGGTGTTCAGGAGACTATGTGGTACCAGAGCTTGAACCTGGTTCAGCTGCATGCAAAGCAAGCACTTCAACCAGTCTGTGTCTCTCATTCTTATAGAAAATATCCTTATCAAGAACGTTCCCTGATGCAAACAGGAAAATTAATGGGCCAGATACTTCCAACCAAAGAGGTGTGAGATTTGAGGGCTTGCGATTTACCTGTTATGTGTACACTTCAGACACAGTGAATCCATGGAAGAGTTCTGGAGATGATTTAGATGGTTAGAAGTTGTGACAGAAGGTACTCTGGATAGAGGGTAGAAAATGCCAGATTCTTAAAGAATCAATCCCTGGGAGCCAAAAACAAATCATTTATGGAACTGTGTATAGGAAGTGTGATTCCCATCGATCAAGAGACAAAGATGGTGATAGGTTTAGGTGAAAGACAAAAGACCTTTATAGTAGGGTGGTGAGGAGTTTGTACTTGAGTCACAGTACTGGGAGATTTCTCCAGGCTTCTGAAACAAAGAATGATACATTAAAATGGGGGAAATGAAAGAATGGGATAAATACTATTAATCAAAATTAACCCAAAGTTTAGAAAAAATGATGTGTTGGGAGGCTGGGGATATGGTTCAGTGGCAGAACACTCACCTGTATGTAACGTACAGGAGATCTGGATTACACCCCCATATCACACAAACACTACACACAAATTAGGGTAGAGGGAGATAGCTAAAAGGATTGGTGCTTATGCATAGCCTATTGTATGCTTGGGTTTGATCCATGACACCACATTTTTCCCCAAGTCACCAAGGACATCCCCTATAAATACAGATGTTGAACCTGGTTGTAGAGAGTGGGTCCAGATTCAAAGCTCTGCTTCAAGTGTTGTCACAGAAAAACTGGATACGTTGGTAAATCAAAATGCAAGCAGTTCCTCTCTGAGCTGAGTTTCTTTATTTCCCCTCATTCTTTTGTATAGGAGGCAGTTTTTCTGTCAGGATAAAAATTCTTCTTTCATACTGGAGTCAAAACATGAGGATTTCTAGTTCTGCATTTAACCCTGACAAGCTATGTGATCTTGCTACCCTCTATCCAGTGTACCTTCCATCAAACTTCTGACTATTCAAATCATCTCTGGAACTTCTGTGTATTCTCTGTGTCTGAATTTACACATCACAGTCTTGCACGTTCTTAGGTTAGAATAAGAACTTTGAACTTCCCAAATTCTGAAAAGGTTATGGTTTTACTCTCACTGTCCTATAGATATTTTTTTTATGTAGGAGTACTGCTATTTATTCAGCCACTGATTAGACTGATTGAATTGTGCATGAACTCCATACCTAACTTTTGGCTGTTTACTTTCTTGGTAAAGTTCACCCCAAATTGTTGGGGTCTGGCCAAAGGCACAGCAGCAATTTTGGGGTATCTGGAAGTCTGAAGGCGCCATCAGGCTGCTGATGCACTCACCTCACAGGTACAGACTGACCTGCTGGCGGCACCATACCCCCCCTATAGATATTTTTAAATAAAAGCATTGTAAGCCATAAAAGATGTATGAAGTTATCCTACCAATTTCTGCTTTCTTCTCATCATGATTACATTGATGCTTTTAACCCAGTTTTTTCTGTTTCATTCTTTTATGCTTTGCTGACACACAACCTCAGAGGCATTTGGATGCATTTGTGGCACTGTCTAGCAGTGGTCAATATCCTAGTTGAGCATTGGTGTTCTCATATATGAAATAAAGTGATTTTATGAGAATATCTTTGTGATCTCTTTTAGTTAAATTTTCTGTAATTTCCTCTAGAAATTATTTTCCATCTACCTATATCATCATCTGATCGTGACATTTTAGTGTTTTACAAATATGAATGGGAAACATATTGTTGGCATTTTCATATTCCCTAATTCCTATGCTTACTAAAGGTTGTATCTAAACTTTAGTGAGTATCTAGGGCATTTATGTATCAAAATTAAAGAATGATTGTCATCCTTTTTACATCTAGCTTTTTGGAAGGATATATATTTATGTAGTACTGTCCTCCCTCTTTTCATCGATTTGCTTGAGCGGGCACCAGTAACATCTCTATTGTGATACTTTTTGTTGCTATTTTTGGCATATCGAATACACCAGGGGGAGCTTGCCAGGCTCTGCTGTGAGGGCAGGATACTCTCAGTAGCTTGCCGGACTCTCCGAGAGGGATGGAAGAATCAAACCTGGGTTGGCCATATACAAGGCAAATGCCATACCCGCTGTGCTATCACACCAGACCATATATATTTATAAGGATATAAAACCATCATCAAAGTCCTTGGCTGACCAAAATATTTTGAAATGCTTTGAAATAAAGGCAAAAACTACTTTGGAAAGTGCTAAAAGTTATAATTGATGCAGAATATCTGTACAGTGTTTTCATCTTTGCCCCTAATTTAGGGCATGGTTCCGAAATTTCTCCATTTCTCCTTCCACACTTTAGTTCCTTGTATATTCATTTGTTTATTTATTCATGATTCACCACCTCTGATATTTTCTAACAAGGTAAGTTTAGCTCTAAGTTTTTACAAAATTTCTCATGAATGGATGTCACAGCTACATTTTGCCGGTCTTTATGTCTCCACCTTTGGAACTTTTCACCCCCATCCTGAGTGCCCTGGTACCCAGACAGCCTCTGAGGAGGCGGCAGCAGAAGCTGGGTCTCTCCACAAGTCTTTTTGTGGTCCGCCTCTCAGATGGGAGCTGTTCATTATTTGCCGGGAGGTTTATATAACAGATGTCATGAGGCAGCCGAGCAAGCACACACTCCCCCAGCCCAGAGCTGAGCCAGGCACACACACACTCGCCAATTGCAATCCCAGGAGAGCTGTTGGGGTGATGGAGGGAGTGTGCTCCGGGGGTCGAACGCTGCTCCAAAGCCCTGCTAATGTCTCTCTGTGGCCATGCTGTATTTTCAGCTTGTCATCATGGCCGGGACAGTGCTGCTTGCCTACTACTTCGAATGCACTGACACTTTTCAGGTGCATATCCAAGGATTCTTCTGTCAGGATGGAGACTTAATGAAGCCTTACCCAGGGACAGAGGAAGAAAGCTTCATCACCCCTCTGGTGCTCTATTGTGTGCTGGCTGCCACCCCAACTGCTATTGTAAGTACAGAAATAGACTTCTTTATTGTCCAGTACCAAACAGCATTTCCTGTCTGTCTCTCCTCTTTCCTCTCTTCCTGGGCATTCACCAGAGCCTTGTCAAAGGGATTTCTCTGACAGCCAGTACACAGGGAGTGGAACTCTGTATACAATTTCATTACAGTAGGCCTTTTCTTATACATGTGGTTTTTTGTTCCCTGGGTTTAAATATACATATTGAAAGCATATGTAAATATCATAAATCAACAGGCACTGTTGGCTAATGTGTTCAGAGGAGTTGCTATGTTCTTGAAAAACTCTACTGTGGGTGCTGTGTATTCAGGAAAGGGCTTTTATATAAAGGCTGTTGCTGATGTAAAGACTCAGATCAGAGAGCAATAAAATCCCCTAGGGTCTTTATCTCCTGCTGTTCTGATTGAACATTCAGAGATGCCAGAGATGAGAGGGATCATTTGACCTGAAGTTGACTGGGATTCATTCTTGATGTCTCTAGCCCTGTTCACATTGCACCTCATTCAATTATACTGCAACTTTACTTTCATTCATTTTATTCTTCTCTCATGAGGAAAAAGAAAAAAGTAATCAGACAGTCTCTAGGAGAATTGTCTTGAGAGCTTACAGATCTAAATTATCTGTATAATTATTTAATAGACTTTCCTTTATTGAAACTGACTTTTGGAGAAGGTTTTAAAATAAAAGTTTTAAAATAAACAGTCATAGGTTTAAATTTGCTAAAAAAAAATCAGATTATTTGGTATGCAATTTTCAGTTATCATTTCTCCTACCTGACTCTCTTTCCCTTCTTTCTGAGACAGGAGTAAAATTGCTGACTGACATGCAAGGGAATATATGAATTATTGAATGTTCTGTTCAGTAATTGTTTTCTGTGAAAATCTTTGCTCCCTTTAAGATGACAAATGCAATAGAATATTGAGGAGATAGATCATGTGCATATGAATCCTAGTACTTTCAGCTCATTTAGATCATTGGACTCATCGATCCTGGACTCAACAAACTCTCCAAGTAATCAAGGCTGTTGTTGGAATTAAAGTCAGCTTTGATGAAACACAACATGATTTATCTGTATTATTGAAGACACAATTTGCCACCCAACGTGCCTGGCATCATATCTTAGCTATGTGATTTTCTAAGCAAGTCATTCGACCATTCCACACCTCCCTGCTTCCTATTGCCACATAAGCATGGAACTTGTAACTGTCTACTTCATAGAGTTGTCACAAGACTTAAACATGCTGATTTTCCCCACATGGTTTAGTGCAATATCTGGCATATCCTCAAATGTGAGAAATAAGGGAGGACCTTGTTGGAAGCTGATCTTTGCCTTCTTAAGGATCACAGAGCCAGTTCCTCTGCCTGAAGATAATGAGATGTCATGGAGAACCCTGGAACTCACTCCTCTTTAGAACAACAGAAAGCTGATCATAGTATTTGTCTTAGCTTCCCTTATTGTTTCTTACCACCTCTAGGAACCTGATAAATATTCAAGGTTTACTTCTATATAAATAAAAATGTGGAACACTCCAGCCCCCAGATAAAACCAGGAGTTCCCACTAAGTTGTGTCCAGAATGGTTCGATGGTGGCTCTCCCTGCAGGCAGTGACTTAGTCTAGAATCACATGCGGGTTCCTTCCTTTTTCATTAGCATATCATTTTATGATGTATTATATATTTTTTTGCTTTTTGGGTCACACCTGGCAATGCAGAGGGGTTACTCCTACACTCAGGAATTACCCCTGGTGGTGCTCAGGGGACCATATGGGATGCTGGGAATCGAACCTAGGTTGACTGCGTGCAAGGCAAATGCCCTACCTGCTGTGCTATTGCTCCAGCCCCTTATGATGTATTTTTACATATATATGCATATATATATATATATCTGAAGTGATCCATTGATTTACAAATCTAATTTCTCTTTTCTTCCAAGTGCAAGGAAATATCATTGCCTAAGTTCTTTTAAAATTATATAGTGTAACTATATAATTGTTTCCTATTAAAAACCTAAATAACATAATGGAAAAAGATGAATAACATTCATTAAAAATTAATTAGGAGCCTCTTTCTGTTGGTCCCCAACACTGCGGCCTGATCATCATCCCTCAGTTACCGTAGGGGGCGGGCCTCTTCAGAAGTGGGCGTGGCCTGATTTTGGGATGGAGGCCACAGCAATCTCGTGTAACTCTGTCTCCATGAAAATTAATTAATCATAAAATAATGATATCAGTAAATAAAATTAAGAGCTTCTTCTTTTGTTGTTGTTTTGGGAGGGTCACCTCCTAAGCAGTTCGTATGGGACGTGGTCTGGAGGACCACATTTTTGTCCAGCTGGATTGGCAGTGTAATGAAAAAGGCCAATAATGTGGTAATGCAAGGGCCTGGTATGCTAGGGATTTATTGTGCCACTTAAGTAGTTCTTGGGGATTAGCAGAACCAGCTCAGCAATCTTTGGGGCGGTGGGGACAATGTGATACTAGGGATCAACTGGTATGTACCCTTATTCTTGTTCTAACTTCCTATTCCCAAAAGCTACTTCTTTGAAAAGTAAAATGACTTTACTAGTCTTATACACTGACAGGCAGAAGTTTAAAAAAAGGAAAAAAAGGTAAATGAAAAAAAAATTATGTTAACAAAGATGCATAAATCTATAAAAGTCTGCATACTATTTGTATTATAAATTCAATTAAATAAGTGCTCAAATCTGAAAATTTATATTCTTTGACAACAAGTAAAATGCCTACAAAACATGTAAAAAGTTAAATATGTAAATTAATAGAATAAATCTTGCAAAGTAAGCATAAGATACAGTTTCATTGGTATTTCAAGAAATAGATAACTGGAGAGGCGGTACAGGGGCTAAAGTGCTTCTTTGCATGTGGCCAACCTGGGTTTGATCCCAGCACTGTATATGGTTCTCCTCTTCCTGGAGTAATACCTGAGCATAGAGCCAGGAGTAAACCCTGAGAACCTCTAGATGTGTCCCAAAACAACACATAAATTAATTTTAAGAAATAAAAATCTTATAACTATATTAACTGTTGCAGATACTAAAAGCTAATCAACATATTTGCAATGCACATTTCAGAACAAGTGAAATACGGATTTCAGAAAATGTACATACACACCCACAAAATTGTTCTCAACAACAATCACAATCTCACTTGGGAATGCTGGTTCCAGCACCTAGAAAAGTATTGATAACTGTCTTCTTAAAAAATAAAACTTTCTATCAAAAGTAAAATGATGACAAAAAACTCCACATACAAGATTGAAATGCAAATGAATGCCCTTAATACTTTAAAAGATGAGCTTTCCTAAATAAGATGGGAAAAGACAATAGAAAACAATTAAGAAAACAATAAATTGACCGAGTACATATAAACATTTCTGAACTCATCAATTACCAGAGTAATTTTTCAGACACCTAACAATACTAAAAACCAGCTCCCAGAACTGAATGTGGCCGCGCGACATCCTATTATAACATTATCTCATTCCTACTTTTTACAAACTGGCAGGCTACAAAATGTAGCCTGCCAGGCTACAGAATGTAGCCTGCCCACACGGCAGAGTCTGGCAAACTCCCTGTGGCGTACCCAATATGCCAAATACCAGTAACAATGATGGATCTCATTCTCCTAAAGAGCCTTGACTATAATCTCAGGGCTAGGATGAAGGAGACGTTACTGGGGCCTGCTCGAGGCAATCGACAATTAACAGGATAATTTGTGATTGTGATTTGTGAACAATACTCATGGACTGCCGGGTCCCCCTTCCCCCCATGGTGCTGTGTGGACATGCAGTGCTGGGGTTCACACACAGGCCTTGCACATAGTAGGCTTGCAGTCTACCAATTGGCCATCTTCCTGACCATCAAAGCTTAAAAAATAGATCATTTACCCATATAAAATATTTGAAACTGTCCATATTGTTGAAGGTGCAGATTCTTTTTTTTTTTTTTTTTTTTTTTAGTGAAGCACCATGAGGTACAGTTGTAGATTTACAAATCTTTGTGCTTGGGTTTCGGTCATACAATGATCAAATACCCATCCCTCCACCAGTGCCCATTTCCCCCCACCCCCCCTCCCACCCTGCCTCTGTGGCAGGGCATTCCCCTTTGTTCTCTCTCTCCTTTTGGGTGTTGTGGTCAGTGTAGATTCTTTTATACAATCCTAGTCTCAGTGTAGACTGACATTTTCTTTCAGCTAGCAGCTTGTCAATGATATATTGACTTTCATAAACTTCACAGCCATCATTAATTTTATTCCCTGAAGTAATGTTAAGAAAACAATCCATTTTATATAATATTTTCAAATTTAAGTGTGTGCATCCTAGCAGTAGATTTTAAAAACAGTTATTGAATCCCCAAGAGATATACAGTTACAAAGTTATTCATAATTGAGTTTCAGTCGTACAATGTTCCAATACCTCTCCCTTCACTAGTGTACTGGGATACTACCAATGTCCCCAGTTTGTTTACCATCCACTTCCTAGTTTGCCTCTATGGCAGACACTTTTCTTCTTATTTTTTTCCTTTTTATCTTTATTCACTATGGTTCGCAATACTGTTCCTGAAGGACTATAATCACTGTCACTGTCCTCCCATTGTTCATTGATTTGCTTGAGCAGGCCCAGTAACATTGTGAGACTTGTTACTGTGTTTGGCACATCGAATACGTCACGGGTAGCTTGCCAGGCTTTGCCATGTGGGCGAGATACTCTCGGTAGCTTGCCGGGCTCTCCGAGAAGGGCAGAAGAATCGAACTTGGGTCAGCAGTGTCAGTCGCATGCAAGGAGTATAATACATATCCCTTTACCTGCCTCAGCACTCAGGCAGTCATAGTGGTCCTTTCAATGCCCTAACTGCACTCCTCCCACCCACACTCCCCACCCTTCACCCAGTTTGTGGCATGCTTCCTATCATTGACCAGTCCTCTTAAGAAGTAGACTTTATTATTGTTTTTCTTTATTTGGGGGACATATCT